TAAATTGATATTTTCTTCAATTCTACGATTATATAATCAGTAACACATTAAAATTGAAGCTATAGATTTCTCGATTCATTATCGATATAGTGCGCTTTCGTTATCACAATATATAGTAGCTTCAAACGCGTTTATGCCTACATCTTCAGATGGTAATACATGCTGAAAGCCATATGTTTTGAGTGAATATTGTAATTCAATGTTCTGCTGGATGAAGCAAGAGAAATTTCACTTATACATTTACATTAAAGAGAAAAAGAAAAAAGTTTTTTTCGTGCAGTCATTCATGGAATATTGTTAAAAATTAGTAATTCTATTGAATTGCTGATTATCAAGTGGCCTCAATTGGTCGATTGTCGGTAATAATAATGAAATATAAATAGATTTTTTTAATTGCAATAGTATTTTTGAAGTTTTTTAAATTTTTGGATCATAGGTCCAAATGCGTATTACTTGTTTTTTTTGTATTTAGAATTTAGAATCTTTATAGAGTTCTCTTTCTTTTCAACGCTCGATAAATATTTATATATCTCCTTTTAAGAATGTTAAACGAAATCAAACAAAATCCATTATGATTTTTATGAAAAATAGAGCTGTGTGCGTTATTGATACAATTTCCAAATAAAAAAAATTTTTTTTCGTTATCATTTAAACTTGCTTGTTGCTTTTATTCCGTAATATTTCTTGGGAGGGCGTTAGAGTGCATGGAAGATCATTTAAATTACAAAAAAAAGACGGTTTTTAATTCTATGTTCTCATCGCAGTGATGTAATAATTACGGATCGATTATGTTCCTAGAACGGTTTCATTAATTATTATATAGTAATAATAAAAATATATTTTTCCATTTTCATTCTATTTCTATTTTTTGACAATTTGTTATCAGCTATTGGTTAAGTTAAATCAAGTTTATTTTATTAATTAAAAAGAAAATTGCAGCAAAGCATACTAGCGTTAATTAGTAAAAGTGAATTGGTATAATGAAATTTTCCAGAATAGATTATAAATTGTTTGTAAAATTGTTGCGATTGTTTATGAGTTTCATTGATTACAATCCCGAATAGAATTTTTTATCATATAATTTTTTATCAAATAAAGAGTTTTGTATGACGGCGCTTACTTTTCACACCTATTTTTGGTTTTGGATTTGTCAACCTAAGGGTTTAAAAATTAACGTGAGAAACGTGAGAAATATAAGCATGAACGCCTTCAAAGATTGCAAACGTAGATACTTTGCCATGTCCGGTTGCGAGCATCACTATGGCTTATTTCTGTTATGCGTCCCGCATGAAGCTCTAACGACTCAATTTATTAAATGCGGGATCAAAGGATAGCGTGCCGGTTGTATTGCGGGCGTTATGTCTGCGTACATACATTTGTATATGTAGACTGCTTTGTCCAACAACGGTTGGCAATTTTGTTGTGCCGACAAAAATGGGAATGAGTCCATATAGAATCATAAACTTATGAAATTATATCGTAAAAAATTCTGTATAAAAATATATATATGAATAAAAGTAAGTCAGGAAAATCATTTAATTATTTATTCATATTTTTGATACAAAATATTATAATTATTTTATTTTCCTCTTTTAAATTTTGCTTTATTAAAAAACATGACATTAAATTATTTTATTCCAATTTTCTATCAAATGTTCGAACGAAGAAAATTACTTTCTGTCGTAGGTGCTTATAAATTATTAGTTAACAATGCAATATTGAAAATATTATTAGGAAACCATCAATTTAGATTTAATTTCATTATATTAGGTGTAGTAAAAAGAAATTCATTATTTTTGCATGAAATTGAATGGAAAAATAATGGATTTCTTTTTACTACACCTAATATAATTATATTACATCATGGTATATATTACAGATTTCATTTATATTTATTTTTTTCTTTATCACGATTTTAAAACTAGTATGAATTAGTTATCCACAAAGTGGTTAAGTTAGTTATCCACAAAAACATTAATAAAAATTTCCAGTGCAATTATTTAGAAAAGTCAATGAAATATAACTTCTTGCACGTGGCATTCGTGATGGCTGAATTTTTTATCGATTATTCGTTAAATCTCTGTTATTGGTTTGGAGTTCTGTGGGGCGTGCAAGTCTTTTGTCAAACTGAAAACAAAAAATTCGAACTGAGAACAGTTGGTGCACTATGTTGACATCGATATTCGACAAGAAAGTTTGTAGCAAAAATCATAATGGATTATATAATTGGATCTTAATTATATAACAATAAAAGTAACCATTTAATTTATAATTGATTATCGACTGCATTAAATAACCGTTTTTATCGACAGTTTATTTAACTTCTATAATTTATAATAGTGCTATAGTATTCGTTCGTTCGTTTTATTAATTAATAAACAATTTTATGAACTTATAATTCTGATTACTGATCTGTATACATTTTTCATAAAAATGTATAATAATTTTTTCATATCTTATTATTTATAAGAATGTTTATCCTACATAATACTTATGAAAAATTATTTGTGGCGTTCTATAATTGATTTTATTATTTATTATTTTATTTAATTAATTGTAAAGTTAAATTACAATTAATATAAAAGTTATTTCAAAAAATGTTTATATAAAATAGGAAGTTAATTATTATTAACTATGAATATCGGTTTATTTTTTCGCATATATTAATTACATTCTCTCTCTATACATATCTCTAAAAAAGCAACAATAATACAGTTAACGAATAATTTTTTCATTAAATTTATTTTCCCAATTAATAACGATATGGCTAGAATTTATCATTTATAATTATTATATTAATTATTTTGGATTAATTTTAAATAAAATTTTTAATTGAAAATTTCATATAAATGCGAGCACTTTATAGCATCAATAAATTTTACACATGAAACGGCATTGAAAAATAAAACTTTAACAATTTCATATACAAAACATTTAATTATAAGATCAATTTTTCGTGATAAAAAACTTGTATTTTTTTCCCATTTAGTTATAAAATATTATGTGTAATTAAAAATTTACGCAGCAATCCGTTCTTTGTCGCCCGGAAGATAAAACGAAAACGCCGCACTCTTCTGGGAAGACCATCGAGCGCATTATCGCAGTGAAATAACGCGAATATAGCCATGAGCACTCAAATCTTCACGAGCGTCGAAACTCGAAACATCACGGTTGTTCGGGTTAAGTATCCCGATGTACACCATGCATACGTGATGTCCAACGACGACGACACGACGAAGACGACGACGACAAAGGATACGCGGAATTTTATAAAGCGTCGCAAGTGCTTTTCGTGAAAAAATCGGTGGAACCGGTTACACCCGCTCACCTCACGCTCTCGCGCACACGCGTACACAGCCTACTTTACTGTTTACGCGAGAACACGCGCAGGTGCGTATGTACGTTACGCGCGCACCTTCCGTTGCACCACTCGATAACGAACAACGAATCTTTGATAGCTAAGTGTCTGAAACTACTCGAAGGAAACGTATTTCAGATGCTATCTCTACTATTCGTATCAGATTCCAGAGCAGAATCCTGTTTACAACCTTGTAATTTTGATATTACGCGCATGCATTTTAGTATATATTTTACATTCACTTCTAATTATATTTCATGTTTTACGTGACGTATAAAATGATAATTAAAATTTTATCTGAAATTTTGATATAAATTGTGAATTGTCCAAAGAATTTTAAGCTATTGATGTTTTAAAGAACAGATTTTAATTGACAATTTTAATATTTCTTGTTGAAATGCGGAGAAGATGGTTTTAGAAATAAGTTTATTTTTTTAAATATTTAATAAGTATTACCAAATATATAATAATATAAACAATCGTCTAGATAAATAATTGCTAAATATTTAGAAAAGCAAATTTATTTTAATTGATATTAATTGACATTTGATTGGAACTATTAATTTCATTCAATATTCAATATTCATTCAATATTTAATATTACTAGACTATTTTTTAGTGATATGTAAACAGCTCTTTCTGCGGAATCTACTTCAGACGTACTAAATTAATGAAGAATGTCATCATGAAAATTAAATTTAATGGCTTCCCAAGGCAAGTTTATGTACATGATAATTAATTTGAATCAAGAATTGGTTATTCGTCTAATTTATGCTCATTTTTATCAATAGTTTAATTTTAATCTCGGTTTAACAAAATCTATCTTTTTTTAAATTTATAATAATAAAAATGAAGAATATGTTCAAACCAAGTTTGAAGTTAATTTACGTTGGTAAAAAGGCATCGAGAGTTGTGATTATAGTAAAAATAGACATCAATCAGATTCGAATTCGAGAAGAATATTTGACCGTGATCGTTCAATTTTTATGATTCCAACCACTTACAATTACGCTCACGCAATTGTAGAATGGCGAAAATTAAAATATAAGAGAATCGATCATTCAGAGTTCTTTATTTCATGGAAAGAAAAGAAATAAAGAATCATTCTCATCTTTGATTGGATTATTTTTTCATTATACAAAACTCTGTGCTCTTGTTCTTTATGACAAATATAATAACACAAAAAAGCTTAAACAGTAGATT